CACGGGCGAAGCGATGCAGGAAGGTGAGTCCGTGGGCAGCTCGGCCTGGGCGATCCCCCCGGCCCTGCAGCGCAAAAAGTGCTGCAGCCCGTACATCTGGGCATCAGGAGAGTGCCCGAAACAGCCCCGCCGCATCCCCGGACGTGGGAGGGCGGGCGAGCATCCCTGTTTTTCCAATTCTCCCTCCCGTGACGGGTGCCGGGGGCCCCTCTTGCAGCCCGACGTGCCTGGCCACCGGCTGGGAGCGAACGCCTGGGTTGTGCCTGCCGGGTTGTTTCCACCTCTGCGTCCTGTTTCTCCACAGCCATTGTGATCACTGAGCAGCCGATCTCCGTCTCCGTCCCCGTGGGATACTCCTTCACGCTGCGGTGCAGAGCCGAGGGACGCACATCGCTGCAGTACCAGTGGTTTTCTCAGTACCAGGTAACGGTGGGAGCGGAGGTGGCCCTGGGTATGGCACCAGGCTGGGTCCCTGCCCCTGCCCGCAGTGATGGAGCTGGCCCTCTGTGGGCAGGGCTGGTGGGAACCAGGAGGCTAGAAGGAGAGAGGGATAGAGTACATGCCGAGGGCTTCTGCAGATGCTGGGAGGGAGCGTGCAATGGAAAAACTCCTTTTCCCGCATCCCTGCGGCTGGAGGAAGGGAGGAAACCAGGGATTCGTACTTTTCCTGCTCTTACCAGGGACCTGCTGGTGCCTTCTGCTACCAGTGATGAGGGGGGACTCACTGCCCACTGCCCGTGTTTTCCCTTTAGTCTGTCTGCTGCCAGATTCCTGGTGCCACCAAGGAAGATTTGCCCATCACTGCACAGCAGACCCAACTGTACACTTGCAGAATCAATGACCTCTACAAAAATGCCGTCTTCTCCGACTGGGTGAAGGTGGAGGTCCATCAGTGTGTCGCCAGAGGTACGAGCACATCTTGTAGCTTTTCTATGTTTTATACTTTGCCCACCTTTGCAACAGTCATCCTGTGCAGTTCCCGGCTTGAAAATCGCGATACAGAAAGATTGCTCCAGTGACGTGAGGCTGCAGGTCTGAGCCAGACCTCCACGTCCATCCTCTGGATGGTTCAGGTCCCTGTCATGGTCCAAATAACCCCAGCTGTATGTACCTGCTCCTCCTGCTGATCGCTCGCCATGGGTTTCCCAGAGTCATACCAGGCGTTTGCCCATTCGCGTTGGGCGGAGGGACTGGAAGAGGCAATCTGGCTATTTCAAAGCTGAGCAAAAATAACTCTGGGTGTGGTTGACCTCAGCAGGTTGACTGTGCCCTTGGCAGGAAAGGGCGAGTGTCAGGTTTGGGAAGCCAGATGCAGGGCTTTGGCGTGTCGTTTACTATTGTGAGTGTCTGTCAAAGATTCCCTGCTTCCAGAGCAGAAAGGCGCAGCAGTGACGTCCTGTGGGATGGCATCTCTTGGTGCGGGTGGAAAAGTGATGATCCGAGGGCTGGAGCACCTCTGCGATGGAGACAGGCTGAGAGAGTTGGGGTTGTTCAGCCTGGAGAAGAGAAGGCTCCGGGGAGACCTTAGAGCCCCTTCCAGTCCCTAAAGGGGCTACAGAAAAGCTGGAGAGGGGATGATGACAAGGGCAGAGAGTGACAGGACCAGGGGGAATGGCTTTGAACGGGAAGAGGGGAGATACTGATTAGATCTGAGGCAGAAATCCTTCCCTGTGAGGGTGGTGAGGCCCTGGCACAGGTTGCCCAGAGAAGCTGTGGCTGCCCCTGGCTCCCTGGCAGTGTTCAAGGCCAGGTTGGATGGGGCTTTGGGCAACCTGGGCTAGTGGAGGGTGTCCCTGCCCATGGCAGGGGGTTGGAACTGGATGGGCTCTGAGGTGCCTTCCCACCCAAACCCTTCTATGATTCGATGATAAAAAGCTTGCTTTCCTGGCAGTACGCACAGACTGCTATGCAGATGGGAAAGATCACCACTGTTTTCTGTCCTTGCGGAGGGAGGACCAATTCTGTGTTGCTGCTTCACAGGACTGCCCCCTCGGCTCTGGCGAGGAGAACCGGTCATCGTCCTCAACCCCACCGAACAGAGGGTGGAGGTGGGGAAGCCGCTACAGCTGCAGTGTGCTGCCATGGGGGTCCCAGCCCCCAGCTATCAGTGGTATCGCAATGGGAACCTGCTGGAACACCAGAAGAAAAAAAAACTCTGGGTAATGTTGCCTTGGGATAGTTCAAAAACTTTGGCTGTCGAGGTGGGTGATGGGAGAAGCTTGTTGCTGGATGGTGGACGCGGGAGAGCCGCAGAAGCCTTGGAGAGACTGCCGAAAATTGTGTTATTGTCATCCTGGACGTGACAGGTGGCAGTCCGTAAGTCTGGCTCGTATCTGCATGTCAGGGCTTGGACGTGCTTTGATCTGTGTGATCAGGTGAATGCCAGCGGAAAGCAGTCTGTCCTTGCCTGTCCTCCCCGTCTCTCCAGCCCTTGAGAAGCAGCCTCGTGCTCAGCTATCTTTCCCTGCCGCGTTGCAGGGTTGTGAGAAAGCACTCCACGTACCACCCCTGTTGCTTTGATAGCTGACTGAAGGACTCCGGGTGAAAAGGGAATACATTTTATGCGCTCTTTTCAAAGCTGTGGATGTTTCTCTAAGAAGTAACCGATTCATAGATGCGTCAAGGGCTCTCAGCACGTCTCCCGTGCCTCTTTGCAGCAGTGGCACAAGAACAGCTATTGTATGTCTGCGCAGGGGACTGCGGAGTGATGGAGCTGCGGGAGTGCTGTCTGCCTGCAGGAGAACTAGAAGGAAAAGTGGTTAGTCCCGACAGAAAAGAGTCAGGGAGACGGCAAAAGGTTTGGGTTTATTTTGGGTCTCTGGCTGAATGTAAATCAGTGCTGTCTTCTTGATGCAAGAAAGGCAAATTTCCTTCTGGGGCATCACACGAAGGGTAACAAAGACGAGATCCCATTTCTTCTCAGTAGTGGTAGATGATATGATAGGGGACAGTGGCCTCAGACTGCACATTTCACAGGGAAGTTCAGGCTGGGGATTAGGAAGAGGTTCTTCACTCGGAGGTGGGTTCTTCATTCTGGAGCCAGAAAGGCAGCGAGCTCTCTGTCCTTGGAGGTTTTCACAGCTCGACTAGACAAAGCTGTGGCCAGCCTGACCCAGTGGTGGCTTTAGTTCCTCTCTGAGCAGGACCCTGGGCTGGAGAACCACAGAGGTCCTTGCCAGCCAGTACTGCTCTGATTCTTGTCCCACGTCAAGAGAGATGGGTAAGAGTTGAAAACTTGCCAGAAGAGAGCAATGGGCATGATCAGAAATCTAGAAAATGTCACCTAAGAGGAAAACCAGAAAACCTTCTGACGTTGGCCATGCACCATCCTCCCAGTGGGGCTCCTGGGACAGAGTATGGCTAAGGCACGGGGTTTGGGGGCTGCTGGAAAAAGAAAGGAAGGCATTTGGGCAGAGGATTCTTGCACCCTAGAAGCTGAGGTCAGCAGCAGACCTTAGTGTGTGGCCTTACTGAGCTTCTGAGAAAGACAAAAGTCATGGGAAATCTCTTAGCCTTGTGAGGCAAGGAATGAGGTCTCAGCATATAGCAAGAAAAAAGACTGTTTATTCTGGGAACGCGGGTGGCTTTGGCAGATACCGGTGGGGGACCACAAACTTTCACCATAAATAATGCGATTTCACTTTTAATCTGTCTAGATCACCCACGCAAAGGTCAGTGACTCCGGCACGTACCTCTGCTGTGCCTCCAATAGCCACGGAGAGCACTGGACCAACGCCGTGGATATTCACATAGGTGAGCAGAGCCAACCCACGCCTGCTTTGCTGCAAATCACCTTCTAGCATGAAAAGTAATTAGAGGGCAGACAGGAATTTAGTGCTCTCGCCTGGAAGCGCCGGGCTGGTGAAGAAGGACCCCGGTGCTGGCATGTTAGCATGTGTGGCTCTGACACTTGCACTGTCCCCTGCCTTGGACAGATCTTGCACTCTTTTATTAACAAAAAGAAAGGCCACCAGTTTTAAATACCGCTTCTGCAGGGAGCTGAAGGGAAGATGCTTCAGTGTAGAAAAGCAGCATGGGGCTGTACAGGGAAGCCGGAGTGTCCTGGCAGTCCTGCGGCGGCTGTCACGGGAACAGCCTGCAGAGCGCAATTTCACACCCTGGATATACTGGATGCGATGATCTCCGCAGAGCTGCGCAAGCCCTGCCGAGTGGCAGGCGCAGGCGTCCGTCAGCCCCATGATAATTGGGATTCCTTGATAACAGGGTTCAGAGGTACCAAGGGAAGTGGCGTCTGTAAAAGAAAAAAACCCCCAAAACCCTGATGATCCGCTGTACTGCGGCGTGGGGTGCTGGTGGGTCCTGCAGTCTGTGGGAAACCTGCCGCGTTCGAGCAGGTCAAGCGGTCTCAGATGCTCACCGCGGTTTTCTTGCCTTGCCGAGGCACTGGTTTAATGGCTCCCCGGCCAAATCGCAGCGGGGTCCTTTGCTAAAAACTCCTTTACAGCCTTGCTGAGATGAAGTAATGTGCTCAGACGCATAAAGCTGGAAAGGATGCTGTTTATTTTGGGATGGTTCAGGCCCCTTGGGCGGGCAGCCCAGGCCTGATGCTGTGTGAGCTTGATGGATCCCAGGGAGAAGATGGGTCCCCCGAGCCTCGGGTGTGCTCCACCTTCGGCGTGACAGCCACTTTGGGCCTCTGCCTTTGCCCTGCTGTGGGACAGGAATAGCACAGGCTAGCTTTGCCGACTCTTTACTCCATCTAGAGATTTTTCTATGTCATAAGCTTCTCATCTCGCCTTTTTGACTGGCTTTAAAAGCGCTCTCCCTGCCTCCTCGCAGCTGGCAAAACAGCATCCGGGGGCGGGGGACAGGCAGAGGGAAAGGGGTGCAGGATTAGGTTGGGTTCAAAATGTTACGGCTGGGTAGCTTTAATGTGCAACAGGCAGCTCTGTCACAGGCAGAAAAGGGTAAATGTGCCTGTTCTGATGGTTTTCCAGGGCATCCCTGAAGCATTAGCAACACTGGTTCAGGTGCTAAAGGTCTTCCAGACCCGTGAGATTTATGCAATTCAAAATATGCCCTTAATTTCTTCTTTTTGAGCCTCTAGGGCTTTAGGGTTTTCTCCTGGGCGGGATTTTTTCTAATAATTTTTAATTTAAATAGGAAAAGCTGCAGCTGCTAGGGAAATGATGATTTTAAGAGGCTGGGAGCGCTCAGGCAGGGGAGCTTGTGGAGCTCGTGAAAGTGAGTCACATTTGGGGTGGCTTTTCTGAGCCGGAACTGCTAAAAGGCAGGGAAAGGCAAAGCAGGGTGGTGAAAGGCTCTGGGAATATTATCACAATCAAAAGTAAACAGTCGACTTCCTCTGTGCTGACCGCTCATGGGGACAAGCTCCCTGTTTTGAAGCTTATGTTGATCTTGAGTCTTTTTTCCTTTGTTTTTGCTGCAGTGAGGGAGCAGGCAGGTCATCTCGGGAAGCGCAGCAGCTCAGGCAGGGCTGGTAGAAGCAGAGCAGACCTGCGGATGGGTACAAGCTCCTCCATGCTGGCCCTCCTTCCCCTGCCCTGCCCCTTCACCAAGCTTTGCTTCCCAGCTGCTCAGGATTTCATAAGTCCTCCCAGAATTGCCATTAAGGTTAGCAATCAGGCTGTGAAGAACTTGCCCAGGAGTGCTGCTTGTGCAGGTGCTCTGCGGCGTTTGATCCAGCTTTGCATTGCTGGGGGATGTTGGAGCAGGTTTCAGACCTGAAATGGGAGCTGGTGCTGGGCACAGGCTTATTGTTTCCCTCTTTCTTTCCCAGGTACGTGTCGCTCTGAAAAGTTTTTTGGTGAGTACTCTCGTCTTTTCTTCCTGAGCAATTATTCCCTTAATTAAAAGCCAGGCTCCAGGGTGGATGGGAGGACAGGACATAGGAGTGCTTTTCCTGCAGAGACCTCTTCAAGCCTTTATGCCCATGTTGTGCTGGGCTTTTGAGGTCAGAGCTGCAGACCACAGGATGAGTCCCATCCCTTGCCAAGCCCTGATCAGTCTCAGCAAGTGGAGTGAGATTACTCTTAATGAGTAACCCAGTCTTGACCTCCATGCTTACCAAATGAGCTTAAAAGTGTTGTTCACATGACACCTTTCCCCTTCCTTGAAATACCTCCTTGGAGCGGGGCGAAGCTCCTCGCTCCCACCGCTACTGAGTGCCATAAATCTGGTTCTCCTACTCTGGAAAGTGGGGATAAAATGAAGGCAGGAGTCCAGGATTTCTCTCCGTCAGCCCCGTGGGCGAAAGGACCTCTTAGCCTGGCTCAGTGCGTCCCCCTCCCAGGCACCGCTGGCACGCAAGACCTGCAGCCACAGTAGGGCAGGTGCCAAATAACCTCGGTAGCGCAGATCCTCCTGCGCTCCTGGGATTTTGGTTGTCAAGTGAAAATTTTTCAAGTCTTTCAAAGTGATGGTTTGTGTATTTTATCAAAATGTTCAGAAAACCGAGGGCTTTCTGCAGGGCTTTCCAGGCTTGTAGCGGCATTGGGTCTGTCCTTCCTGCCTAGATGTAAGAAAAGATTTCCCGTATCCTCACTCGATCAAAG